ATTTTAGGCTAAATTATTTTATGAACCTATATCCTACAACCCATTATCATAAAAACAAAGCCTAACCCATTTGTTTATTTAATTGGTCCATTATTTTCATGAGGCCCAATTCTACCCTACAATTCTCTCCTATAAATACCCCATGAATCCCCAAATTTTCCCCCACACAAAAGGTTAGTCTTTAATTATTTTTCATTATTTTCTTTATTTTATGTTCCCTTCATTTTTATTTTATTTTTTATTTTCCTTTTCTTCTTCTTCTCTTTTTCTTTCTTCCTTCCGTCTTATTTTAGCCCTAATCCTTCATTGTCTTGATAATTATTTTTATGACATTGTTAATTGAATTTAATGGTTTAATCATGTGATAATTTATCTTAAATTATGAGTTTTATGAATCTTATTATACACTTTAAAATTTTAGAAATTTTGTTCATAAAAAATTAGGGCTTAAAAATGTTACTTTTTCATATTTTGGGGTTTTAAACTGTATTCTACAAGTTATTTAATTAAAGCATGATTATATTGCAATTCTACTATGATCATTGATGATGTTAAATTCAAAAACAAATTATCAGTTTTCCGTATTCAACTTTGATCTCCGTTCTTAATTATTTTTTTATCACGTTTTAATCACGTTTAGATTCTAACTCGTCCGATTTTTACAAAAAAAAAATAGTATTTTCATGTGTAAACGACGTTTTAATCAAAACTCTTAACCTATGGTAGAGAGCACCACCCTCTTGTGGCCAAATTCAGCTTCTAAATATGGTTTTCGGGCAGTTTTTGATTTTTAACAAAGGTTAATGTTTAAAATAAATTTTCTAATTTTTTTAAAGCTTTAAACTTGCTGTAAATTCATGAATAAGTATGTATTTTAAGTTTTTTATGTAGGAAATTTTAAGAATAATATATAAGCTTTTAATTCTAGCAAAAAGGAAGGTTTTAAAGTGTTGTTTCATTAAATTTTGAAGGTTTGATTGAGTTTTTATGAAACTAATTGAATTCTAATTATATATTTCAAGTTTAGATTGTTGTATCCATACATTCTACTATTAAATTAAATTTTCAGATTTTTAATCTTGGTTTTAAAGTTTTTAAATCATGGTTTTATGATGGATTTTTAGGTTTTTAACATACTAACCTACTATATAATGATTATTTTAAGTAGAGATGTTTATGAGGTTGTTTTATAACCCTAAACTAAATTTCCAGATTATAATCCTTACTTTAAAGTTGCTAGAATTTTATGTTATAAGTTGTATTTTCATGATTTTAACATATAAACTTATAGTTGAACTATTGAATTATTATCTTTGACTATTGTGAGTAATTTAAAAGCATTATTTCAATGGTTTAAGGGGTTTTAAAGTAAGTTAGTATTGCTGTAAATTATATTGCTTGGGTATTGATTGAATTATTATTGTTTGGTCTAGGAGAAGACTTTGTAGAAGGCGATTTTTAGTTCCTAAAGTGGCCAACCAACTCGTTTACTCAAGGTACGTACAAGGATACGAAAACCTTGACTTTAGGAGCATGTTTAAGGACTGGGAAAACTTAGAATCATGTTAGGGAAACTTGTAGATTGGTTGAAATTATTTGGTTGTGAGTTTGATTGATGATTAATGTGATGATTGATTTGATTTATGTATGAGAAATGCGTATTGATTTTTCTTGTAAGTATTATTTACGTAATAACTTGCAAGATGAGCTAAGAGGCTAAGGTAAATAAATATGTGGAATGAATTATCTTATCACTCGTTTATGTTTATGAATTGGAATGAGTAAAGGGAGAATTAAAGTCTTATGAGACGAGGTTGATGATTTGAGGTGCCTTATGCACTTAAGGTGTTTATACATCGAGGTAGTTAAAGGATTTAATGATAAATGTTGTTTGTCATTAATAAATCAAGAATTGGATTGGAAATTTGAATTGTTTGAATGATTGATGTATGATTGGTTGTATTGTTTTGCATTTGAGTCATCACCAAGTTTAAACTTGTAAATCACGTAAAGTGCAAGATGGATTAGCAATAAAACTCTGGATTTGTGCACATCTGGAGTATTGACAATTAGGGGTTGGGGTTCACGGGGTATTAGCCGTGTACTTTCTAAAGGCCGTCTGATCTACGAATCTCTTGTTTACAAATGCTTTTTAAAACTATAAGGAGTTAGATGAGATTAAATACTAGCTATGGCCACGGAGTCGTGCCCGTCTACCATTAGATGTTTATTAATGTTTCCAAAAGGAGGCATGGGGTTTTTCTTTTATTGATGTTCCAAATTGTAGCATGGGGAGACAACCTTGTCTATTGCTAAATTTAATGAATGAAAAGAAATGAAATGAATTATTGTTAGTAATTAGTGAAGTCTTAGTAATGTTAATAGTTGAGGCATGTGTTAGAGTCTATAATTAAATTGTGTGTGCTGATTGATTTTTAGTAACATGCTAGGGACTCTTTGTTATATTTCGTAGCTTGTATGTACTCAACGTTGCTGATTGCGTGCTTTTGTGTGTCTTTTTCTTGGTCATGGCCTTCTCCCTTCGATGACCCTGTAATGATCCAATTTTTACACTTGTAATATTGGGGAGCAGATTAATCACATGTTTATACATAATCAGAACTTGCATCAAGGTGCTGGGATTTTGAGTGGAGTGTTTAATGCTTCCACAGTATATTTCATTAGATAAGTTTGGATTTAGTTTAAATCTGGTTTGGTTTATTTACTACTTTTATTGGGTTTTGAATAAGGGCCTTAATGGTTCCGACTTGTAAGAATAAATTTGGTTTTGATTTTTGGTTTTGAAACTTATTTATAACTGAGTTAGTTTTTCCGTTGCTAAATTATGAACTAGCCTTAACGTTTGAACACGTGACGGTAGCACGTCGGTAATTCTCTTGCAAATTGTTAAAGGTATTTACAGGTTTTTAAGAGAGAATTATTGGGGTGTTATAAAGTTCTTGGGTACACTTATTAACTCTCCGGATGAGAGGGGGGTGGTTGTAAGTTCAAAGAACCCCGGCTCTATTATTTTCTCATAATCCTCATCCGGCGGAACCTTTGGGAGAGCACACTTCTGACCCAATAGATCCGGCTTTTTATTGTAACAGCGATACTTTAAGTTATCTCGCCGTTTGGGGGCAGAAACCAGGTAAAACCTGTTCTTCCAGTTATACCACTTAAACGGTTTGTCTAAGGTCGTCAAATAGTTGGGGTAGGTGGTCAAGGTGTACAACGCCCGCCATCCGCTTGGGCTACGACTAAGATAGTGCATATGGGCAAAAGCCTCCCAGCCGGGATGGAGGCCTTGCATCTCATAGGCGGCAATGTAGCCCAGAATGTTAACCTAAGAATTTGGGGTTAACTGCCACGCACTTAGGCCATATTCTCGTAGGATAGCCTTTATTGCATCGTGGAGGGGGAAGCGGAGACCGGCTAGGATGGCCGCCTCATAGCAGCCAAAGTAATTGTTGGCATTCGGCTGGCCATCCTTCTAGGAAATGGTACCCATTGTAGGCGGCACCCGGATGTCATAGCCCTCGCCAAGTGGACGTTTTAATTTGAAGTTCGCCAGGCCTTTTTCCATGATTGCCTTGTCTCTGGTAGACACATGGATTCGGAACGGATCCCCCTCGTTGCTCCACTTTTTTTTCTCTTCTGCCTCACTATCCTCAACTGGCGATAGTGAGCCACTACTGCTCTCCCCTAAGCTAGACCCAGAGGCGGTCTCTCCCCCGTTTCACTCAGAGACAGCTTCATCATCTTCCTCAAAGCCAGATACAGAGACGGCTTCTTCACCGTCTCCCTCTTCTGATTCAAGGATCCCGTCACATAAGTGATGGGTGCACCCGGAAGGGATCCTCCTCCCTCTTCAACCGGTACTTCCTCAGGCGGCATACCTTCTGTGCCTTCTTCCCTATAGTCCGGATCAAGTGTCGTCCACCTCGTCCAAGCCATAATGTCCTGCATAGACACGGAGACGGTTAGATTTGGAGATGAACAAGGGTGATCCAAACACCCAGAGACGGCACCCCCAGTCCTAGACTCAACCGTACCAGGGGACCGGCTGACTATTGACCTAGGTTGTGCCGTGTGTGCTGTTGATGAATCCATTTATTGAATGATATGTACACAAACAGAAAAAGTATGAAAGAGCTGAGAAGAGGAGAGACAGTACCTCAAAGATTTGTTTCTGAAAGTGGTGTCAAGTGTTGGCCGGCTGTAAGAGGCGGGCAGAAGTCAAGCAGCTGTTTGTGAGATGCACAGACGGTTGATCGGCTGTAACCAGTTGGACAAAAAAGGAGAATTGTCCGGAAAGTACACAGGCGGTTGTCAGATATTTTCTCTCTAGAACGTTTGACTTTCTCTCTAGACTTTTTGAAAATGTCAAAAACGAGGGAGGGTAAAACCCTATTTATAGAGAGGTAAATTCAGGGGCATTCCTGTAATTTCCCCCAGAAGGTGAACAGTCAAAACTGTTCACCAATGCCTAAGTGACAAGTGTCATAGGCGCCACGTGGCATGACACATCACACTTGTGGGGGGCAAATATTTTGGGTAAAAATACCCAGGCCACGTGGCCCAATAAGAGGGTGACACATGTCACCCATCTTAGAAGAGGTTCAAAATGATCCTCTCCTTAGCTGACACGTGGCACTCCCAATTAGTGGGGAAAAAGACGGCCTTCAGGGCCCAATTCCTGAGAAAAGCCGCAAAATGGCGCAGCCCCCAAAACTAGGTCAGAATAACCGGGATAGGGGCACATTTACCAATGACCCTATAGAAAGTGAGATTCACCCCACTTTGGGGACATGTTCAATTATTTCAACACAATCAATTCTCTCACATCAGAGAAAAACACCTGATCTCGGAATCCGAGAAGATCTCGCTTTACTATCCGCACTTTTTTACATTCTTCGTACACGCTCTAACTTGATCTTCGGAGGCGGAGCTCCACCCAACCGGAGTCTCCGTTGTTTAGCAGGTACAGGCGCTTAGAATCTAGGCTTAGTGACGTAACTCTTCCGAGGGACACAAAAAACACCAAAACAGATTTCACCATCATCTTACAAATTTTTGGATGAAATCCGTTAAAGGGACCCACGATGGACACGTGTCAATAAGACATCTATACTATTATTTTAAAACAGGAAAACTTAAATACATATAGAGTGCCACGTGTACATTTTTTTTTTTAAATTTTTTTTTTTATTTTTGACATACTCATCCGGATGTTTATCTTTCTATTTCCTGGACTTGAGTTTCTTCCCAAACAACGCTTCCCTTCGGTTCCACAATTAAAAATTACCAAACAACGTTTCAATCACCTTTAATTTCTCCGTTTAAGATTTATAAATAGATTGAAAAATGAACATTAAAGATTGTATTATGGCCATTGATGAAGGTCGTAGGTTTGTGATCCCTCCTATACTCCCACTGTTTTTATTTTAAAAAAAATTAATTAATTTTCATAGTACATACAATTTCTAATTTTTACTTGTGATAATTTTTCAAATTGTTGATTAAAATGCTTTTTTGGGTGAAGGGCCAATGGTATATGGATTCTTCTACAGTTTTGTTTCTTTTTAAAATACTCTTGCTTCAGTAAAGTTTGCAGGTTTGCCCCTGTTTTTCAATAAATTTTAAGTTAATTTTTCTCTAATATTTGGCCTTTTGTTGATTAATAAGTAAATGGTTTCGTAAGTTGATTAATTGCTTATTGCTTATGAATGATTTTGCCTCACGAAGATTAACTATTTTTATTTTTTTTTTTGAGGGAATTAACTCTTAGTAATTGCTACTCTGTATGATTTTGATCCAACTTCCGTTATTCAATTTTAAGTATCAATTAAATTTCTCTTCCTTAGAATTTTAAGTATCAACTTTCGTAATACTCTTAGTACGCTAAATTAAATTTGGAATTCTGTTTCTCTTGCTTTTTTTTTCTTCCCCAATTATGATTTTTGATGCATGTTACCTGTTTCTTGGTGACTGATTGTTTATTAATTTTTTCTATTGTGAATTCCCTTAAAGTCTGAAGCGCTTCCATCTTTCAAACCAGGAAGACAAACTGATAATCAATCGGTATATATTTTATGGTTTATTATGCGATTCTTTTTTTTGTTCAGTTTCTTTTTTTTCAACAACTTCTAATTTTTTTAATTTAAATTTCTCATTTTCTTTTCCCCGTTTGAACAGTTAGTTTACAATCTGCAATTGTCACAAATTTCGTCAATGTCATCAGGTCAATCCTCTTTCACTCTAATTACTCTGATTTTTTTTAAGGTTAGTGGTAATTTTAGTAAATTCATGTCTTAATCTTGGATCAATTATTCTCATTCTTGTGTTTTGTGGATTAGTAAATGGTTTTATAAGTTGATTAATTGATTATTACTTATGATCAATTTTGCCTCACAAAGATTAACTCTTAGTAATTGCTACTCCGTATGATTTTGATCCAACTTCTGTAAGTCGATTTTAAGTGACTACGTTAATACAATATTTTGAAAACCATTACAAATTGGGTGTATTTCAACTACATTTGATGTCTATTGGGTGAATGATTAGCCAAATAACAAATTACATATACAAAATAATTTCAGACCCAAGAGAAAGGCAGCAGCAGCTCAAATTTAATATTGTGGTTCTTAAATTTTATTCATGGCGGATCATTATCATTTCGATTTAGTTTTGCAATATTGACTATTTCCTAGATATTATCTATCATATGTGTTATAGCATTTTCATTTATAGAATGGTTGATTAACTTGATTCATATTATGTAATTACTATTTTCAGATATATTTAATAGGTACACATGCAGATCGTCAATGCCTCAATGGGAATATGCATTAAGGTCGCTATTTCATGGTTGTACAACAATTATTAGTGATGTCAATTCATGAATGTAGCTGTTATTAGTAAAATAGTAATAGATGCATTACATATATTGTATTAATTTTATAATTGAAAGGTGGATTGTTTTAAATAACTTCATGGTCGTGTGACCAATATTACTTCTAAATGCTACGGAGTACTATTTATCCCACTTGCTTTGAAACTCTTTTCACGATAAAAAAAAAATATTGATGTTTAACTTTGTATTTAAATTGCGTTACATCTTGCTATTTCAAAAATTCAATATAAATTTAACCCGTGCGTTGCACTGGCTAAAAACTAGTTAGATTAAAAAAAAAAAAATTAAATCAAATTTTTTTTTTAAAAAATAAGAAAAGAAAAACCCCTAAACCCTAACCCAGCCACCAGCCCACCAATGGCGAGCGTGACTCCACCGCCGGAGACCCCCATTGCTGTCGCAACTTTCAACTATCACCCCCACCTACCATGCCCCCCCCCGCCCCAGCCCTACCACCTGCAACCTAAAAAAGAAAAATAAATAAATAAAAAAAAGGCAACCTAAACCCTTATCCAGCCTCACCACCGACAACCCTGTCAATGCTGTCGGCAACCCATCCCATCCCCACCGTCGGCACCCCCAACCACCCAGAAATCCACCTGAGCTGACCTTGAAACACGCTGGTCACCGAAAAACCCACCTAATTGAACCTTGAAACACCCAGCCACCGAAAACCCCAACGACCGGAATCCTAATGGCCAAAAACCACCTCTCCTTTACCCTTTCACCCTCAAAATGGCCGGTATCGACCATGGAAGCCCATAATAGTAAATTTCGATGGTCGATTTGTCCATTTCAAGGATGGGGCAAAAGGGGGCAGTTTTTCGCGGTGGTTTGAAGTTGGGCTGTTTTCGGGGAAGGGGAAGGGGTAGCGGGTAGAGTCGTCGATGTAAGGGTTGTGGTCTCTCGGTTTCGCCGGTCAAGATGGGGGTTGTGGTGGTTTTCGGTTGGAGTTGGGTTGTCGGCGGTAGGGTCGTGGTGGCACTATTGCTGGGTTAGGGTTTAGAATTTTTTCTTTTTTTTTTTCTTTTTTTTAAAACCAATTAATGCGTGACACGTGTACTTGGGGGTCCCACTAACGGATTCCATCCAAAAAATACCATTAGGTGGTGGTGAAATCCAATTTTTGGGTTTTTTTGTGGTGTTATAATAAAAGTTAGATTTTGTGGTGTTAAAATCCAATTTTTGAGAAATTTGTGGTGTTATTTTTTAAATTTTCCATAAAAAAGGGGAAATTCTCATTGTTAGCCATGTAAAATTGCACATTCTCAATGGTAACACAATTTTCTTACAAATTCTTTCAAATAGCATTACTTTTGATAAGTTTCCATGACAATATTTTTGTAATTAACAACTAATTAGCTTAATCAAACAAGAATTAACCTAATAATTAACAAAAAAAGAAAAAAAAAACCAACCACCCCACCCTACCCCCACCCTCGCCACCCTGCTCACCACTCGACCACCTCCCGTCAGTGCGTACTACCCCTGAAACCACACACCGGCGCCTGCGACACCCCACCTCGACATTGACCCCTGAACCACCCTCCCCTTCCCCTGATTTGAACCACCTTCCCCCCTTAAAACCCCCTCCCCTCCCCTCCCCTCGAATAACTTTTCCTCCCTACCGGCTGGCGCCAAAACCCCCTACCAGGCGCCGACGAAAACGATTTGCCCCACCCCCTGTCGTCTCCACTCTATTTCCCCCATTTAACCACCACCTCGAAACTCTCCCCAAATCGAAACCCTAGATTCTTTATTTGGGGGTTTTAGTGTTTCGAGTGGTGGTTTAGGGGCAGGAAAACGAGGTGAAGACGACAGGGTAGGGTGAATCGTGTTCGCTAGTGTCAAGGAGGAGGTTTTGGCACTGGCGATGGGGAGGAAGAATTTTTCAAGTGGAGGGGGTTTTAGGGGGGAAGGGAGGGGAAGGTGGTTCTGGGGTCGGGTGTTGCCGGCCGGCGCGCGGTTTCAAGGGCAGTATGTACAATACCTCGTATTTTTATACGTATTTTAATTTAAATCATTATTCTATGAAGTATTCAAATAATTTGAAATGAATTATTTATGCTATTTTATTAATTTAAAAAGAATTATTTTAATTAAAGGTCCATTTTTATTTATTTAATTATTTTGGAAATATTTTATTTTATTATTTAAAAACTTTGGAACATATTATTTATAAAAGGAAATTTTAAAGTCAATGGGATTTTATAGAAAGTCAAAAGGCTAGTTTGAGTAGGAGAAGGGATCATTAAGGGTAGAAAGGGGAATTTAATTTTAGGAGGGTTTAGAAACGGGGTATAAATATCTATCACATGGGCAAATTAAACCTTGCCCAAGGTGGAGAATACCAAAGGTAACTTTCTCTCTCTCTCCTCTTATTTTTTCTCCCTTAATTTTTCCCCCTCCCCTTTATTACTTTTTTTTTTACACCACCACATGCACCACCGCGATGACCGGCCACCACCACAGCCACCCGCCGGCCGACCACCACCACTAGCGCATGCTAGCAGCGGCGGCCACCAGCGGGCGCTCGGCAGTAGCCCAACCGTGGTGGTCGTGGCGAATACACAAAAAAAAAAGAAACTTCTCTTTCTTGTTTTAAATTAATCTAGCCTTGATTTAATTACTATTTTCGAGTTGTGTGATGATTTTTATGATGAATAGATTATAATTATTATGTATATAATTTTCAGATTTAGTTTTTGAATTAAAAAGCCCCAAATTGAAAACCCTAGGTTTATAAATTAATGTATATTGATAGAATTTGATTGTAGGTGATTGAAACTATTGAAATAGGTGTTTTAAAACACAATTACAGCAATTTAATATGTTTTTATAAAGTTGGAATTTGTATATAAAGGTTATAATAATGTTTCTTGAAAGGATTTTTTATTACCCATTAATTGGAAAGTAAGGGTTTTAAACTAATTTTCAGCTTATTTTAGAGGTTTATAAGTGATTTAAAGAGTGTATATATTGCTGGAAATTTATATTGAATAGGTATTAATGTCTCTTTGTAACTTTGGGTTGTAGGAGAATTCTAAGTGAGTGACTTTATTTAGTCGTGGCGATTTTGAGATCATATTCAAGGTACGTTCGCGTACTTGGTAATTATCTGAGTATGTAGAAGCCTGCTAAGCTTTGATTAATTAATTCCAAGGTAGTATTATGATAGGTGATTAGGGGATTTTGCTCCCACCAATCGGAATGCGCCACGTGGACCAATCAGGTCCTGCCAAGTGTCCCCCAGTTGGAACAGCCAGGGCTTCCCACGTGGCACGCGCTTATTCGTCCACCTTGGACCTGTTATGTCAAGACATGTGGCATACTCCATGCCTAATGGAGAAACCGGCCACCCAGGCCCAACTTCCGAGGGAAGCCCAATCGGCCCTAGGTTTACCTAAACCTAGGATGGGCACGTTTCCCAAGGTTATAAATACCTCCCTTAATCCTCATTAAGGGGGATGACAAAAAAAGAGAACAGAAACATTACGGAAAAAACACATTAATTACACACAGTAATAACCGGCTGATCTCGCTAACAAAGCAGATTACCTACGTTAATCACTCTCACCTAGAGAGACCTAATCACTTTAATTTCCGCATTAATTACTCCTTAATCAGGTACTAACTTGACCGTTGGAGGCGGAGCTCACAGGAGTCTCCGTTATTTTGCAGGTACAGGCGTCCGGTTCCAGTCTCGAAATTGTAACTCTCCCGCAGGACATCAGAAAACCCCGAAACATTTGGCGCCGTCTGTGGGGAGAGTACTTCTGAGATGGCATCCAAGTCTGTACCGACTCCTGAAGAGAGGCATCCCCTAGACGACCCTCAAGTTCAGTCGGACCATGATACCGAAAGTGAATTTGAAGTTAAACCTCATACAGCTTCAGACGGGACCCTAAGGGCCCGACGTACCCGTCATACCGAAAGGAGGGAACGGGAGCATCTTCAAACAGGAAGCGAGCCAGCAGGCGCACCGCCTGTTCGGCAACAGCCGACTGATGGGTCTGCTCCCATCACAAGGAACGAACTCATGACCTTCATGAGGGACTTCAAAGGAGAGATTCAAGAGTTGATCAACAAGAAGCCGCCTGCTCCAGTCAAGGAGCAGTCGGCCAAGAAACCCTCCACTTCACTGAAGAGGAAGCCAGTTCAAGGGCGAGAGGCGACTCCTCATCCTAAATCTAGGAAGCGGGAGCCACCTGCCCTTGATTTCACAAAATTCCGTTATCCTACAGGAAATAGGAAACATGTTCGTCATATTCAGGCGGACGGGTCGAAGCAGACATTCACAGACGCTCGGCTACTGCTAGAGCAGAAGAAGAGTGACCGATTGTCAGAGTCGGCCTCTACTTCAAACTTTCAAGACAGTTTGCGAAATGCCTCGATGAGGCATACTCAGTCGTATCATGAGAGTCAGTCAGGCGGCACCTCCCGTCAGTCCGGCTTTCATAGCGACCAGGCGGTACCAAACTTACCATTTGTGCCGCAACAACAGTATTTTTTGCAGCCACCTCCGTTTGGTGGACCTGCAGCAAAAAACGTCCAACCTATGGACTGGCAGCTACGGTTGCTTAGACTTGGTGAACAGCCGTCGGCCTTCTCCAAGGAAATTACTGAAGCCGCTCAGCCGGCCAAAGTGAAAAATGTACTAGTAGGCGCCTATGACGGCACTACTAACCCAGAAGACCATCTGATGGCATTCACCAACCTGATGTACCTTCAAGGGTTGGATGATCCCACTTGGTGCAAGTGTTTCCCAGCGACTCTCAAAGGAATCGCACAGCAATGGTTCGGCAACCTGCCGACTGGTTGTGTAAATAGCTTCAGGACGCTTGCTTACTTATTTGCCTCCAACTTCGCCATGAACATCCCTGCGAAGAAAACGACCCTTGATTTGGGAACAATTCAGCAGGGCGAGAAGGAGGGGCTTCGTTCTTACATCAGGCGGTTTAACCTGATGAGAATACAGATTCAAGGGTTACCGGATGAGGTAGCTTATACTGACTTTTTCAGAGGTCTCAAAGACGGGTCTACCTTCAAATTTGATTTGGTTTGAAAAAGGGTGGCGACTCTTCAAGAGGCCTTGATTGAAGCAGAAGCCTATATACAGGCGACTGA